GTTTCGTCAGCGACCAATGAGTCGAATCACGAGGTGCACCAAAACTGATGCGTGATCAGACTCATCGCAAGTGGTCCATCATGACGAGACTGCACCTTGACGTGGTGTGATGGCTTGCGTGCCTCAATGACTCTGCGAGCTACACAGGATGGCTTCTCACAGCCATAGATCCAATCATGCCTGAGAGGTCAACGGGTAGAGGCCAGACAAAGCTCAGTCTCACAAAGCCAGCTGATTGGGCATCCCCTGGCTTCCTTTTCTTTCCACACCCGCCCCTGGAGGGGCCACTCCTGAAAATAAAAACGGTGAGGGGCAGTTTACCGGTTGAAAACCCCCCGCTAGATGGACCTAGGAGCGGGGTACCTGGGGCTTCTCGACGGTGGGAGAAGTCTTCGCACTTCATTGGACAGCTACCACCCGCCCAAGCTGGGCAGCCCCCAGCCAATAAGGTGCTATCCCGTCCACGCTTCGCTTGTCTCATTGAGTGCATGAGGCTAAGGGCTGATCCCGAAAAGCGGACCGATAATCAACGCACCAGCGAACAACAAATTTAACTGAAATTCAAAGGCCTTGCCTGACAGGTTTCCAGAAGCTCCCACACAAGTGCTTCGCTCACGCTCCCTCGTTGGATTTACGCCCCACTGCCTTGTGGGCCAGACTCTTAAGTGATAAGCTTCGGTTAGGGTTCCCAAAGAAAACCCCACAAATTCCCGCTGCCTTGTGGATCAGACTCTTGAGTCAGAGGCTCCGGTTACGGTTCCCAAAGAAAACCCCCTTCGTCGGTGTGGGCTACCGCGAAGTATGCCGTACCCTGAAGTCTTAGGCACACATTTGGGAAACGATCCTTCCCTTCTGTCTAGTTCTTCTTCTCAACCCCGAATAATCCCAGATGCCTCTCGTTTACGCCACTCATCGAATATCGCTCAGCGTTTTACCATCAAGGCCAGAGAATCAGAAGCTATCGGATTTTTAAAGTCAAAATCCCCTTTCCACTTTACTAAAACTCTCGAAACTTTCAATGTAGATGTATGTTGTGTCTCCGGAACACGCATACAAGACCCTACTTCAATTATCTCTCTGCGTTCTCCTGAACCAGCCTTAACCTCACGCTTCACTCTTCGTGTAAGGCGATTCGGCATCCGAAGCTCGCGGTGTTGCTGGTGTCGGGATTGCGCTAATTGCCAAAGCTGAGCGCTCGCTTCTTGACTGGATTCCAGTCAGTAGCCGATTGTGCGCTGTACGTGTCAAAGGTTCATTTCGAGTCAACAACTACAGGATAAAGCGTCGATGCTTGTTCGTCGTATCGGCGTATGCACCGACCGATTGCAGTATACAGGAAACCAAGGATGAATTCTACCAGAATCTATATCAGCTACTCCAAAGTGCTCAATCAACGGACGTCGTAGTAGTCGCCGGGGACTTCAGTGCTCCAGTGGGATCCCTGGACGAATCAGGAAGGCTTCTTGGTGGACCACACGCAATCCCAGCTAACCGGACGGACAACGGAGATCGCTTACTTCAACTCTGCACGCACCACGGATTGTTCCTGTCAAACACGAACTTCTCGCACAAGAAACGCTATCGACCTACATGGAAACTGCCAACCTCTTTACTGCGCTGGACCCAAATCGACCACGTCGTCACCAATTACCGCTGGAGGGGATCAATTCATGACTGCCGCTCTTACCGGTCAACAGCTGCGGATACAGACCACACCTTACCACGAGCCAAGTTCTTCTTACGCCTGGCAAACAGCCGCAAAAAAGCCACCGACATTGGATATCCGCGAAACAGTGTTAGCGATTCATGCAAATCGGCCTTCGAAGCGGAGCTCTCCGATCGCCTGTCAGTTCTACCGCCAGCCGAAGGACTCAATGAACACTGGAAGCAAATGAAGGAAGCTATGCAGATATCGATGAAAACAACGTCGGACCGTGCCACAAGCTCAAAACACAAACGATGGATATCGTCGACTTCGGTTGCCCTGCTGGACGCCCTCAGAACCCTTCCTCCGGATGCCACATACGGCGCAGCGCGCAAACCCCTTAAGCGCCAGCTCATCAAGAGTATGAGGAATGACCGCGAGAAGTGTTGGGTAGGAGAGTGTAATGAGCTGGAGAAAGCTGCGGCTGTTGGTAATAGTCGTAACCTATTCCATCTAATTAGGAATACGGGTCCTAGGAAACTAGGCGTAAGTGAGGTAATTAAGGAATCCGATGGCACACTGATTCACGATCAGCAACGCCGTCTTGACCGTTTGGCTGAACACTTCAAGGCTCAGTTCAACTGGCCCCCAGCGACAGCTTATCTTTCACTCTCTGCCTCAACTGGAGAAATACTCCTAGTTGATGCTAGTCCTCCATCTGAAATGAAGGTTTCTCGGGAAATAAGGTATCTCAAAAAGCATAAGGCCTCTGGCCCAGATGGACTGTTCCCATCAGCGTTTAAGGATGAACGCTCAGCGTTAGTCTTGGAGTTGACCAAACTCCTGGGTGTAATATGGGAATATGGGATGAATGGTGATTTGAAGAACTTGAAAGAAGAGCGGTTTTAGAACTATTAAATGAAACATGGTTTGCAATGCCCCATGGGCAGATGTGTTGGAGATCAGAGTTTAGTGGCACTATAACGGTCACAATGGATATTCGTTTGGGCCTGGAGAGTAGTGCGGTAGGAGAGGAAGCGGTGGAACGTGGCGTCACCAGCAAAAGAATGGATCTGGTGGACAGTTTTAGAAAGGAGATCATTGATAAATAAAAGAAAGGTGGGTGCAATCACTGAGCCTTGGGGAACACCAGCATTCACAGGGAACGGCTGAGATAGAAATCCACCAACTGGGACGGAGATGTTTCGCTTACTGATGAAACTTGATATCTACGCTACGAGCGCTGGAGCAAACGAACATGAATGAAGCGTTCTTTTTTCTTAATGGTTATCAAACATCTGTTCCTAGTTTGCACGAAGCGATTGTGGGAATGGGGGGTGGCTGAGCGACGCCAGCGGCGGAAGGCTGAGCGTTTCAGGCGTACCGCACGGTTACTCAGCGCTCAGCTAACTAGGGCAACTACTCAGAGGCTACCTGATTTTTGAAACCAAAATCCCCTTTCCACTTAGCTGCACTCAATGTCCGTACACTACCGGATCGGTCAACAAGCTGCCTTAGCTAGAACCCTTGAAACCTTTCATTTAGATGTATGCTGTCTCCAAAACACGCATTTAAGAACCTACTTCAATCATTTTGCGTTCTCCAGATCCAATCTCATCCTCACGCTTCACTGAACTGAACCGCACGACCACAAGTATGGTTAAACTACTCGGGGGATTTCGGTTTATCGGGTTTGGAAAGGTGCGGAATAAAAAGATGCACACCTTGAAGAACAACTTCGGCGAAGTTGGAAACGGATTTTGAAAAATCCGAAGATAAACAACAATCGTTCCAGGCATAAGAAATCACGGAAACCGTCCCAGTTGGCTGAGTTGTAGCCTCAGAACGTGCGTCTTGAGGTGGACGGCGGATCAGGGTTGGTACACCTAGTGAAGCAAGAAACAATGCAGTGGTCCGATGAGCCAAGAGGAGAGAAAGTAAAAATATCTGAGAAGAAAAAATGGCCGAAGTGAGAATTAGATCATGGGTGTGGGTGCAATCACTCGATCAGGGACACGTGTGAAAAGGTCGACTTATTGGCTCAGGTTGTTGACTAAAGCGAAATGTTCGGCTTCGCGCCCCCAAACAAAAGTAGCAGATGATTGTGCCAAACAATCCTGATTATGAACGTTGAAATCTCCCAAGATGGTTATACGGCAGTTGGATTTGGTTGCAAGCAAGTGTTCAAAACACGGAGGAGTCGCCACTATTGGGGACCGATAAAAATCACGAAAGTAAAGTAAAGATTGAAAGGAAGTTGCCACTTCAGCCACATCAGCTGAAATTTACTGTTGGAAATTTTAAGATTTGGAATCCTGTTGTGGGCGAGTGATTGGTGTATAAAGACGCAGACACCAGCTTTGGGTAGAAAGGAGTTGAAAGTGTAACGAGGTACTTGAAGGTGGGTGGTGTCTGACAGGAGGGGGAGAATTGTGTTTCGGTCAAAAAAGGTCAAGAGAGAAATCGAGAATCAATGTTGCGGTTTAGTCCGCGAATGTTAGTGAGGGTGACGATCGCGAGTTTCCAATGCGAGTGCGTAGAGCGAGCGAGAGAGCGTGAGATTATTATTTTGTATTGTCATGTTTATGTTGTGATAAGGAAAACGGCAAGCATGATACTGAAACGTTGGAGTGGTGGACCACATAATACTTCAGTAGATCTGGTGAGCTGGTTGATGACAGAGCCGCCTACCACCTGTCGTTCGATATGTTGGTTACAGAACTCCTCTTTTTGGTGCATCAGAACGGCATTAGGTAGTAGCGTTAGCTCAAACAATAAACACCTTTGGTTTCCTTTCCGAACACTGATTGACCACTGGTTCCGCATCGCACGTCAACGGTTGTTGACGGGAGTCCATTCGATTATGGACGCCTCGGCTCTATTATTGAGTACAATACCTACTCCACACTGACCTGCTGAGGCAGCATCGTTGTAGCCTGATGTGCGGAGTAAATACCTCGAGGACAAATCTAGTGCACTTGAGTGACTTATAATACTAGGGTTAGTCCCTAAAGGTTCCAATTTACGCACAGGACTTTGATTTTGATCAAACAAAGGTTAGAATAATTTAGTATTAACGCAATCATCACTATCCAACCTAGTCAACGCAATAGGCAACGCGGTCCTAATCATCGACCGATGCAGTATGGGATTCGTTCTAGTTCTTGCATGTATTGTAGTTCGGTGCAAGGGTTCTACTCGGGTGTCCAGCCCCTAAGCAGGAGAACAATTTGGGTTCTAGCGATGTATTTTGCACTATTGCTTGTGATAGTTTGTGTGTACATTTTTGTTTTGTATTTGTCTTTCCTCACAATCCACTGGAACTAGCCATGATTTTATATCTTTTTTCTTATAGGGTGACAGCGAGATTGCGCAGCTCAACCTGATTATTCAGTTGTGTGGTTCCATTACTCCGGAAGTTTGGCCAAATGTAAAAAACCTGGAAGCATTTCATCACGCTCAATTGCCAAAAGATGTGAAGCGTCACGTTCGTGAGAAACTCACTCCCCAAATTGCTTGCCCATCAGCAGTGGACTTGATTGACAAACTGATTGTTCTGGACCCATTGAAGCGTCTGGACGCTGATCAGGCTTTGTCCCATGACTTTTTCCACGAGGATCCACCCGCGGCTGATTTAAGTGTGCTTTCTAAAGGGGGTAATTCCTACCTGGAGTACTCGGGCCAGTTAAATCGAGCCCGACAGGTGGCCGCGGCTGCAGCTCAGGCGGTCAATTATCGAGGTGTTCCACCAAACCCTGGCTTTGCACATCGGCGTCTTCCTGGCCCATTAGGTATCCCCGTTCAACAGGGTGGTGTCTTGCCAGCCTATCGATATCGTGCGCTTCCACCAGATCAGGACAGTACCAATATTAGTGATAGAATCTACTGAGTTTCACCTCGTTTCTTCTTGCTCCCTCAAGCTCCCTGTGCACTTGACCAATCTCTACTAGCCTTTCAATCGCCAGTCCAAAACGACAACGGCTCTGTGAATTTTTTTGTCTTTTCAACCTTCATACAAACAGGAACGATTCTTTGCCAAACTCACCTATTTGTTGTTGATGCATTTCTACACAGCCACCCACCCGCCCGTCCGTTCACCTGCCCATCCGTCAATCCTTCCAGTACCACCACTTTTATCACTTTCGCTGCTGCTGCTGCTGCTGCTGTTGCTATTTCTGTTGCTCTCTTGTGCCATTTTGGTGGCACTCAGATAGACTCAAACGACATTCTGATTTCTGCCGCTAAGTTCGTATCGTTCCGTGCCAACCGAGCACCTCTTATGATTGTGATAATCTATTCATCTCCGGGAGCCTCTCCTTTGTTGTCGATTCTCTTCCAGCCAGTGTACACAGACATACACATTGCAACATCACCTCTTGCCTTTCCTCGGTTGCTGCTGAGCTGCACGTAGCAGCACGCGCTTGCACGCAGACCCACATTTCCTTTGTTTCCTTTCCTATTTTGCATACTTCAAATATCAAAACCCATTTTCTTGTTCATTCCTGGAGGACAATTCTTAAATCGATCGACAGACTGATCTAATTGGTTGATTTACTGGCTAGCTATTCAATCGACCGAGGACCTTGTGGTCGCGGTTTGACGTGCATTTACATGCCTTTTGTGGCCCTCCAAATCCCATNCAGTTCCAAGTTCAGCAATCACCCATTCATTGCTGCCAGTCCCTTTCCTTCTGTTCTAATATCCCCGGTGATCCGAGGATCTGGAGATCATGTGTTACACGAGGAGATTGTCGAATGTGAAGACAACCTCTGACGAGAATCTGTGCTGTGGACTCTCACATCGTTCGCTTCCAGAGAGTGAACGCATGTGAACCTTGCTACGATTGAGACCTAGTTCTTTCCCTCATCAAACATTCTGTCTGAACCTCACCCGCGACCTTTTTGGGTCCAGCCAGAGTCAATGAAAATCTATATTGGAAGAAAAAAAAATCAAAACAAGATAGAGCACATTGTTTGTTCTGAATGCTGTGATCCAGTCAGATCCGTTTTCGGCAAAGTAACGCGATAGAGTCTCTTATTGTGTACATGTTCACTGCCATACATATTAACCATCGTAGCTCTGACATGGCGGAGTTCATTTGTCATTTGTGACTATTCGAGTTCGGGACAAAGTGATAGTCACCACAAGTATTGATTGATCATATCAGATAGCTAATGAAGCGTGGGATGGGATGAGTACGGTCAGTTTTTGCCTAGGGGTTGTGGCTAATCGACGCCTGCCAAATATTTGATAGGCGAGGAAAGTTGACACGTGTTGGGATTTGAATATCCGGATATAGGGTTAATGTGAAAACAGTCTCTTACCACTTAATCATCAGGACTAGAGGATATGGTTTCAATGGTTAAATCAGTTTGTGGTGAGGTGACATTCTGGAAGACAAGACTAATTCATGTACTATGATGTGTCTGGGATGGTTAAAGATACCAAAATCTGCTACACGTGCTTCTTTTTATCTTTACTTTCTTTTAAATTGAGTATACGAATACGGTCTTGAGAAAGGGGGAAAGGGCCAACCAAAGGGTTGCCATACAACAGAATTAATGTCGGTGGTGGTGGGATTCGAACACGTCCTCCGGAGTGATCGTTTGGTGAAGTTACCACCGCCCATGAATATACTAAACTGTTATTGAGGGAAATGCAAGTCAAGGTTGTGAACCAGCGAACGTGACAAACTTATCATCCCAGGGTGAGTAAATCGACGGGGAATAAGCATATCGCAATTGAAACAGGTAATGTTAGGAAGATGCGACGAGGTTTTTCAGCACTAGATTGGTTCAAATGAAGACAAGGTTCTATCTTTCATTTTCTCTCATTTTGGATGATTTCCGAATGACCTATAGGTGATTGTTTTTGTGCGTCTGTCACATGCAAAATTGGGTAGCCGAGATGCGCGAACCACTTGAGTTCCTTGATCAGGTTTTTCACTATCATCCAGGTTTACCAAATGTGTTTCTCATTTGGTGCATCGCTTTCGTGGCACAAACAAGAATTGGCAAGTTCTTGTACGGTATCCGGATCGTGTAGTGTGGTTAGGAAGTAACCAAATCTAAGAGCCTGTATCTTTTTGATTAGATCATGCAGATGTACATATGGATTCAAGACAAGATGAATTTGCCGGGT